ACAACTTCAGTAAATTTCTAACCAAAATAAAGGGTAGTACCATATAAACTGGATTAAGTCCATTGCCCTAAATAAGTTTAGTTTCAGATCATTACAAAACCCACTTTGGGTTCAGCTAAGACTGTCTATAGCCATAACAACAGAAGACTGGCTATGATCTTACAACTGTGAAGAAATTAGGATGCGTTTCTATTAATAAGACTTTTACTTTCATAACTGAAACAGGTAAGGGACAAAATCATGCTGCTCCTCATAAATTTGCAGCAGGGAACCCTGTTTCTACCTTTTCTGACAGCCCCAGTGACAACAAATGGCCTAATTTGGTGAACAGGCTTTAGTAACAACAGTTTTGCTCAAGTGATTCCTTCACAGTATCCCAGACTCTTAAACAGTAATTAATTTCTTTAGCAAGCTTGAGAAATATTTCTGAAAAATAAGAACAGTGACTCTACTTAAAGCAGTAGGCCTATTTCTTACTTCCATTCCAATGTTTCAACCAAGACGTGATTCTTCCTACTACTTTTGGCAAAGCCAAGCAGGGTATTCCTTTTGGCAAAGGAAAAACAAGTGATTAACATCTTGACAGCCAAGATACTGGAAAAGCCTTGTTAGCAATTCCATGTTTCAAATGAGATAATGTGGTGAAACTCCAGTAGTGAGCATACTTGATTACTGTACAGTCATGCAAATGCAACAACGATTGCATACAAAATGTCCTAATTTATTTAGTTACCACAAAAAGTGAAATTTTGGAAATAAAGTCTTTAATGTTGAATCAAGATCACTTAGATTTCCAAGTCTGCCACCTCAGCAACCTTAAGTCAGCACCAGAACATTATTTTTAAAGGACTGTTGCTGGTGAAAGTATTAGCAAAGGAGAAGCACAGGTCTGTCTAGTTTGAAAGTGGAGGGACAGGGAGTAGATTCTGTAATGAAGAAACAGGAAGATGGCCCAGCAGGAGGGACTTGGCACGTTTACAGCAGAGACATTGAAGAGACACTGTTCAATAGGCTTTTTTATCATTAGAAAGTTCCTACATCTTTTGGTAGAGCACTTGTCAAAGCCAGCATGGCAAGGAAGATGACCAGTTCAAAGACACATATGCTCAAGAACAGCAGCACTACCATAGAAATGACCAACTAAAGGTGAAATTCAAACCCCTCTCCCTCGCAACAGACACCTTGGTTATTGTAATGCCCCACTGGAGGACAGTTTCTGGCCATGCCTAATCAAGCCTGCCTAGCACACAAGGTAACTGACACAGAGATGAAGGATGTATGGCTCTCTAGATACCATGAAGACCATAGATAATCACCAGTCCTGAACAAACTGAGCTGCTTTCATCTGCATACAATTTAACAGACACAAGCCCAGACCAGCATGGCATCTTGCTTGCTATGCTGCTTCTGCAGTAAAACAGTAAAACTGTTGAAACAAGGTCTGAACTAAGCACTTAGTTCCTCACCTAAATTATTTGTTTGCATCATAAAATACAAAGATGTTTCACTACTTAAATACTTGGGACTCTTTTATCCCCTGCTCAAACCATATTCAACTAAAGGCTAAGCCCACTAGCTATGGTGAGTAGTACTACTATACCAGAACATTGTGACTCCAAGAAATTTACCCCCTGCTGCTTAAAGGAACTGAAAAACTCTTCCACATAATACATGGCACCTCTAATAGCTTTATATTTAATATTTCTTCAATACATTTTCAATATATTTAACTTCTACATCTGAACAAAAGTTAATTGAATGTTGTCTTTGGGATTTGTGAAACAGAACTGAACATTATTTGATGAATAGTACCGATCAGATACAGTGGCTGGATAATTTGGCAAAATGCCAGGAATGTTCATCAGTTGTATTTAATTTTAAAAAACCCAAACAGTCAATCCTACTTCCTACAACTACTAGCTTTATACTTGCTAGTAAGAATGGAGAAGAAGGAAGAAAAAACAAAAAAAGAGGAGTAAACTCCTCTTTCCATTACTTCATAGTGCATCCAGCCTTCTGGGTACCAAACAGCTGACTTCTCCATTCCTTCGACCCCTGTATTTGCCACTCTACCCTTTCCTCTGCCTTCATACAGACTCAGTTAATTTTAAATGTTCAAATGGATCAAAAACAAAAAGGAAAAAACATAGAGATCCACTTTTCTTCTAAATTCCACAGAACCTTTGAGCAGAAGAACTGGAACATCTACCTGCAGGCTTAACAGCAAATAGTTAAAACTATAACAAGCTAGAAACTTTCTTTTTAATGGAAGTGCAAGTTTAAGCAGAATGGTGATCGATAATCCAGTGGGTGTTGTTTTTTATTCAAACTAATCATGCAGATCCCTTTCCCTTTGTACTACAGGAACACTAAACTGTAAAATGCATTTCAAATGGAAAAATGTTTCTATTGGAACCTCCACATACCTGTAAAGTGACTAGAAGAGGTTAGTCTAGTTAGTGTGTTGCAACACGCAAAGGCAAAGTGCACAGGCTTCTGAACTCAGAATTTGTCAGTTAAGTGGAAATGCTGGCTTGCAAGCAAATCCATATGCAAAAGAAACTTACTGATCACCTAAGATGTTTACTACAAAAAAAAACCCCAAAAAAACAAACAAAAAAAACCCCAACCCAAACTGAAAGCTAATTACTACTTTTTGCTATAGAAAGCTGGGCAGCTTGGTGTAGACCTTAACATTTAACTTCTGTGTTACAGGCACACTTCTTAAAACTGGCAAAGAAACGAGGCCTCAGGAAATTAGAAGACACACAAAATCAGTTTGCTTTTTTCTATTTTATGCTTCACTTACAAAAATATAAGGCTATTACCTGCTTAACTCCTGTATTTACTACCTCCATGAAAATCAGAACGTGAATGATTCTGTATTTCTGTAAACAGCCTGCGTACCAGTAATTATCTATTTGAAGGGTAATGCATCCTTTCAATACCGCTTGGGCTGGTTCCCAAAGCAGCTGTGCAAAAAAACTCATCCAGACACGCTCAACAGAGCAGCTCCATGGCCTGCCTGGGCCAGGGGACAGCATGTGCCGAGCCAGGGCCAGACAATCAGACCACCTCTCGTTAGTTAGCTGGCCGAGGGCTCAGACGTCCCTCGGGGAGCCAGCTGCCCGGGCAGGCTCAAGCTCCTCTCGCTGCTGTTCAACCACCCGTGGGCCAGAGGAACAGGCGGTAGAGGATACAGCATAATGAAGGGTTAGTCTCCTGAAAAGAAGGCGTAGACCAAGGAGAGGCTGCAGGAAAAGAGAGGTGGAGTGAAGGCACAGGAGTAAGGAAGTAATGTTTCTTCAGACCTGCGCTGATAAATGGGACTTCCTAAAAGCCGTCTCACTAAGAGTCAAATACACAATCATAACTTCACAAAGCAGGGTCATTATCCAAAACAAGGCAGACAAGTTCATTAGTCAAATTTTCAGTGTGATGAAAACCAGCTTCAAGCTTTTTCTATTCACCACATGTTACAAAAGCACCTAATCATAAGGCATTCTTAATACTAGAGTACATGTCATAGGCTCACCCCTACAAGATATAGGAAAACATCCTCTATCACAGTAACTCTTAGCCAATCCAGTACCTGCAACTCATATTTTTATTAAAGATTTTCAGTTTAGAAAAAAGAACGAAGTTAAAATTGCTTCAGCCAACAGAAATCTGCTTGCACTGGAGCATAACTTTCTCTTTTCCAACCTGAACCAAATTATGAAGCTTTATCCAATTTACGTGCGCTGAGCCAGCATTTTCTCCAACGAAACTCTTATTCTTGCCTTGTTCCTGCCCTCCACACAAATACTGAGACACCCATGAACCCAGCCCAGAAAAACACCCCCAAAAACCAAACCAGTCAGTTCCAAACACAGACAGGATCCTTGATTCAGTTGTTCTGTAGCCACACAGGCCACTCTCAATGCAAAGGTAGATGGGTGAGTGAGCAAGGCGGCTACTACTTTCCTAACTCATAAGACATCAAAAATACCATACTTGGTACAAGGCTCTACCAACTCCCAAACAGGACTGCATCTTTCAAAGTAGAAAGCAGCTTTATAGTTCATTGTATCTACTTAACCCTCTCTGAAGTTGCATGTCTCATGACATGTGTGTACATACAGATTTCTTGTTCTAAGGATTTATTTCATTTTCACAACGTATTTTGGAAAAAAAAGTGACAGAGGATTACACACATCCTCCCCACTTAAGTGGCAGAAGTTTAGAGAGCTGTAAGAGTGCTGTTACTCCAAGAGTACTACAGCACTCATCTTCTGATCTCTAGAAGGATCCACAATAGTAGTCTAAGACTCTCTGAAGGAAGACAAAAGATTTTTAGACAAAAGTGACTTTTTTTGAGGGAAAACAATATAGTGCTTGACCCAGATAACAAAGTCTTCTAAATACATCCATTGAGGTTGCTCACTAACATAATTCTGTCATTTTCAATTCACCTCAAGTCCTTAGAAACACAAGGCTCCTGCAAACACCACATCAAAGCTAAAAGGAGTTCCTTAAAATGTTACTGAATTGTACACACTTTGGTGGTATTTGGACTGTATGCTGTCTTAATCTCATTCTAAAAACCAAATTTATTGCCTAAATCCCACCGCAGCTTCTTTCACCCATAGACCGGCTGCCACCCAGAAAAATCGATAGTCAAACTTTTAATAGCAGTTAGCTCTAAGTTAAACTTCGTAAAGATTTCAGAACCATCCTCCTCCACTTCCTCCCTCGAAAGCCATCTTCCTCACCGACCAACAAATCTAGCTACTGTCTATGGCACAAATCTGAGTTATACAAAACAACAAGAAAAGGACAAGCAAGGGAGGACGCCTCAGCAGAGCGCCTGCGGACAGCAAGCCTATGAATGAAGAGGCCACGGGGGTAATTTCACGGGGCGGCGGGAGTGCCTCGCCGGCGGCCAGCGCTGGGGCAGGGGGCTGCCC